TTCGGTATTGGGCAATGGAGCATATCGGCTTGAGGACAATGAGGGCAAAGCATTACCCAGACCTTGGAATACTTGTAATTTGAAATTTTTCTATCATTAGATAAACATCATTGTTTGGCCGATATTATCAATAAAGTCTTTTCAGAATCCTTTCAACATGTTTGATTGATAAAGTTATGCATGGGATGTTTTTGAAGACATATCAAACTCAAAGCTAAGCTGATTCCTTATCTTCACTTGTTGAAATTTGTAGCAATTTACAAGTTTATGTTAAGCCGACATATGACCACCCGCTGAGGTATACAGAAAGTTACAGGTTAAAATAAAGGCTAAGTATATTGTTCATTACTTGTTGAAATTTGTAGCAATTCACAAGTAGGTCAGACTAAGATTACCATTTAGTACTTGTCAAGAATTGAGAAGAAGCTTGCAAAGTTTACATTCTGAAATATATGTTCTATACTTGTTGAAATTTATGAAAAGTTTGCAGGATAGTATCTTGCCGATGTAAAAGTTTTATGGTTATACCCGAGGTATGAAACCCCGAGGAGATTGCACAAAGGAAGCAACATGAGGAAATATGCAAAAATTTCATAAGTACAAGACTATGCAGAAATAGTCAACAGAATATCACAAGATTGGAACATCCAGAGGAAGAACTGTTGCAGTTACATATTGAAAAAACCACGTCGGCCAAAAGAAAGAGTTTTGCATTAATCCAGAAAGTAAAAAAGCACAAAGCGCAAAAAACAAAAAAAAAGAAGGAAAAAAGTACAAAGGACAATTTTTTCAATATTCTTCAGTATCAGCCACTGCAGGGACTGGGACCTCGGATGACTCTGGTGGTACCTCCTCGGCCACTTTCTCCGCTTCTATCTCGGCATCAATCTCAGCGATTGTTGACTCAACACTTCTTTCTACCAAGAGAAGATTGGACGATAGTTGCCCAGTGGCAGTCTCCTTGGGTGCCCCCTCAGCCCCATCACCCTCCTCATCCAAAGTCAAGTCCATAACCTGCTCAGCAGGAGGAGGGGACTTGGCTTCGGCAGCATTCTTGGGTCTTCTCACCAAGGCGTCACAATCATCTTTTTCTTCATCTTCATCAACGGCCTCAGCCTCAGACTCTGATTCACCTTCAGGAGGAGGAGGAGGAAACGGTAACGGAATAGCGTCGGCCTGACGCCACCTTCAGGTGGAGGTGGAGGAAATGGCAAAGGGATGGCATCAGCATTCCGAAGGGGCGAGTCAACAGGGAGATCAAGCTTCTTTATCAG